CACATGCCCAAGGACTCCACGACTTCCGAATAACACCCTTCTCCAACATCTCCTTGATATTTGCACGTAAAATCTTGATCTCCTTGGGTGACCGACGATGAGCAGGAACCTTGATTGGACGAGCATCCCCAGTTGGAATCGGATGACGTGTGGCAATCTTGGCCCCAGACGATAGGTCAAAATCAAAGAGATCAAAATACTCCTTCATGAGCCGGTCAACAACTGCAACACAAAGATCATTGGAGGGATCGGAAAAGGGAAGAGCAGAACAAGATGGAAACATAGGAGGAAATAGTGGGGGAACAAAAGTAATGGAAGCAGAGGTAGAAGTAGAGGGACGAAGAGGTACAAAAGTGAGAGGAATGAATGAAACATAAGGAAGTATGAGATAAGGGGGAGAAGCCTCAAAGTCACACTTGGCATGATTGTGCTGCAACCAATCCATACCAAGAATGAGGTCAAAAGCTTAACTCGGCACCACCCGCAACGACTGCAACTCAAGCTCGAAATCACCCACACGCACAACCAGGTCCGCCTCATCTCGTGCACATGCATGTGTACGGCCGTTACCATAAAGAATGAAAACTGGATCCGCCGCACGACGCAAGTGTAGACAACAACGTGTGGCAACAGGTCGAGCAATAGAAGATAAACTCAAACCTGTATCAACCAACACGGAGAGAATAATAGGAGACCTTTTGTTATAAAAACGAGCTTGGAAAGTAAACATTGGATGAACTGGTGCCGAGTGAACCCTTTGATGATACTCCCGAAAGAAAAATGGAGGGGTCACTAACTTATTCGCGCAAGGTCCCTCCATTACTCGTGCGACTCTTCGTTTCCCGGATGCACCTCGGTGTCCAAACCTTCCACTGCAATAGCACCAACGGGACGTTGTTGACGCCAAGGTCTCCACCCAGGAAATGGAGGTCGCCAATCTGGAAAGCGCCGACAACGCCGATAAGTATGACTAACTTCATCACACGCCCAGCAACGAACATCACGGCCACGACCATGTCCTCGCCCTTGTCCTTGGACTCGAGTAGCAGCAGCATCAACCTCCATTGGAACAGGACCATCACTCATAGGAAGTGGAGCGGAAGGACGTGCAGCGAGAAGTGGAAGAGGCGATGTTTCATAACGTTGTGCCAAGCGAAGAGCATCGTCAAGGGTGGCAAGAGCAAGTGCATGCACAAGGCCGACAAGATCTTGACAAAGTGCTGGCCACAACATTCCTAACTTGATCCGCTCCGACATATTGGGCTCCGCACGAAGCAAAAGACTTCGGAAACGAACGCCAAATTGCATCACTGACTCAGATGGCCCTTGGCGAAGACGATGCAATTGTTGGAAGGCATCATCACAATCGTCAGCATGTCCGAAGGTGCGTTTGAAGACGTCCGGAAGAAGACTCCAATCCCCACGAGTGGCCGCACTCAATCCATTGTACCACTGCAACGCCATCCCTTGGAGACACGTGGGAAACTCACGCAAACATCGAGCATCATCCCAAGAATGATATGTGGCAATCACCGTGAAGTGATCGAACCAATGGTACACATCATCCCCAGGATTCCCACGAAAGATCTCCCGCCGAACGCGAGGATTGGCACCAAGAGCAGGAGGAGTTGGACCACGTGCCGTGAATGCTGCCATCAATTGAGTTTGATTGTTCAATTGCAAGCACATAGCATCAAGCAATTGGACCAACTACTGCTCTAGAGTCAAAGGAGGAGATTGTTGATCTACTATGAAGATGGACGAAGAAAGAGCAAAAGGAAATAAAGGACAAAAAACGAGAAGGAAATGGGAGATCTAGACAATGCAAAAAGCTAGATCTAAACCAAAATCCTGAAAGGGAAAAAAAAGAAAGGAAATGGAAAAAGCTAGATCTAGACAATGTAAAAGCTAGATCTAAACCAAAATTCCAAATTCAAGCACTCCTCAGGGACAATCAAAGGTGCCCCTCATCTCCACCAATGTGAGTGTTTGGAATATGGAAAGGGAATACAGAAAATGTGCATATCAATTAGCCCAAAAACCCTAGCTTATATACAGAAGCGAGTGGTCCGGATTGAAACCAATCCGATAGCTACCAAAATCCCACTACGCTAATATTAGTATACAACATTGTAACCGTACACTTGGCCCTCACACATGTTTATAATTATAGGTTTCTGATTGATCGGTTGAATCAGTAAATAATACCAATCAGGAAAACACTACTATTAAACAAATCAAGTATTATTTCATGCAACACACATAAAATTATTCATTCCAGCCCATCTTATGAAATACAACAATGGTTTAGAGCCCTACTATTACTCTAAATTTAGATGCATAACCAACATGCTCCTCTAGTCATTTTTGTCTTGGTTCCTACAATAAATAAAAGACAGAAATATTCCTTTAATTTAAATGCCTTTTATTATTGCATTAGCAAATGATTTTTGATTTTCTCCTCTAAAAACTTGAAGTTTGATTGATTATTATCTTTTATCTAAATGCTTTTTTCCTCTTTCCTTCTGAACTTTGATCCAGCTTTAACTAAAATTGACTAATTCACTTCATGAATGGAGATCACGTATTCTAAGCAAATCAGAACTTTCAATATGCAAGAGCAAGTAGTAGAAATGATTAATTGATTTCAACACTAATAACATAGCTTATAGCTAATACATACCAAGTCTTTGACACCATACAATAGATTTGTATATGTTTCAGTTTTGTTATTTTGCTCTATTTTGCCAAGAGAGATTGAGAGTATTCCTAGGAGATTATATTATGGTTCATATTAAACCGTAATTGATGTGAAGAAGATATTACCTTCAGGATTAGAAATCAGGAGACTACAAAATACTTACTAGAGATATTACATCACTCCTTTGATCCAAAATACTCCTTTAGAAGAGCTGATTTTAGTAGATTTTAATGTTAATTCCTTTGCACAAGCGTGTCAATAGAATCATACATTTATCAAGCATTGCCGTGGCATTGGAAGAAGTATATTTCTCGCAAACTCACTAATCTTTGCAGACAAGGGATTAGGGTTTTGGGGCTAGGGTTTCACGGAGAAATGGGGGGAAGAAGCGACTGCGATTTCTGCGCCCTCTGCGGCACAATGCTCGTCTACGAGTCTGCTACAACCGCATCGTGTGCACTCTGTAAGGCGCAGCGCAACGCCGAAGGTATGATCCATCGATCGATCGCTCATGTTTTGCTCATAAACTCTCTCTTTGGTGTTCTTGTTTATATATATTCTACACAGTGGTCCAGGAGGAGGTGTGGTGTACAATCAACGCCGAGGTACAATGCTGTCTTTTGCTGTTTAAATGGAGGATGTGTATTTGCGGCATTTATTTCTGTGTAGGATTTGGCCCGGAGGCTTGGAATCGATCCTCTCGTTCTACCAGAACTTGATCTCAAAACCGTGGATCAAACTGACGAAGGCCCGAAGAAGGCTGTCGTAAGTTTTCTTGTCTTTCTTCTTCCGGAGAATCTTCTTTTCTCTTTTATAAATGTCGAGCTACGCACTGTAGGTGAACGAGGATTGTCCGAAATGCAAAAATCCGCAGCTCGAGTACTACACGAGACAGGTATATAGATTGATAGTTTTTTTTTTGTCTTTCGCTTTTTTTCTACACTGTTTATACACTTTTTTTTCCACCCGCAGCTGCGCTCTGCTGATGAAGGCCAAACAGTGTTCTACGAGTGTCCCAAGTGCCGGCACAAGTTCTCGCAAAACACGTAACGTTCTCGCGTGTAAAACCCAAACGGAAAGAGAAGAAATCCGCAGAAAAGGTAACACTCTTTCTAAATCATTGCCACTAATCGCATAATCGTCACCCTGTTGTGCGTGCTCACATTCCAAAAGCGAGCCCGTCCCTCCATCAATCACTTACAGGTGAACTGGACTGATGCCTTCGGTTAAGTTTTCCTTCCCAGCTGGTGGTGATTGCGAGTGATGCACAAACACATCCCACTCCGCTCTACGATCATTCCAGCTCCAGATTACACTCATTGGCGTTTGATACCAACCGATCGCTGTCACGGGATTTTATAGCGTGCCAGAGGAGGATGAGGAGAAACAAAAATATGTGCGTATATAGCGACAGTAAGAGCGAGCTTTTCTCTTTTCTCTCTCGCCGTTCTTTTATCCTTTGCTCACTCGTCGTTTGGCTCTTTAGGCGTGCTCTCTGGGAGCGAGAGGAATTGGATTAAACTATGGGACTACTTAACGCCTTTGGTGAGGAGACTTTGGTGGAAAACACTAGTACACACTCTGGAAGGAAGAAGGGGGGAGTTTTTTTGGTTTGTGGTTTCAAGCTGGAATCAGACGTGCAGTGCGCGCAGGCCTTCCTTTTTTTGAGGGGAGGGAGATGACAAAAGGCAAGAATGCAGGCAAGGAATCATTCATCCATTCATGTCATTCTGGTTTGTTTACATCTCTCCTTTTTTTATATGGTTTTTGTTTTTTGGCCTCCTTTCATGGCTTGTTTTGTAGCTATTTAGAAATATGTGGTTATTTTTTTTTTTCAATTTCTGTGTGTGTGTGTGTTGTTGTATGTGCGGCTTTTTGGATATTTTTTTTTCTTGTTCATACAGGGAAAGGGTCACTGTGACTCACCAAACATTTATGAAATGGAGACCCCCATAGTGTTGTACAAAATGTCATTAAGCCCATCGTGGTTTGTCTTTTGGTTCATCACTCACTGTAATATGGCCCACATTGCACATGTATGCTACTACTACTACTTGTTCTACTAACACTTTCTATCACGGTATTTTATTTCCCAATGGTTCTTGGCCAAATCATGGTTTAAACCTTGGTTATTTGATAATAGAAAGTAATTACTTTAATAATCGAACTTCAAGATTAAAATATGGCGCGTGAGGCGCAGCCGTTGATTTCTCTAAGTGTTAGCTTTGTCGGGGATATCCCAGCCATTGAATAAAATCTCGCCGCCCGGCCACCACAGCCCTACCGACGGGGGCATATGCCGGCGGCATATTCCAGCAAAGGGCGAAAGAAAGAGAGCATGATCATGATCAGGTGGTCCATTCCATCCACAGTGTAGAAATTGGGTCTCTCGGCATCGCGAGCGCGCAAGAACACCACGACACAGTTCCAATCCTCGGACCAATCCAGGAATTTTCAGGCGAGGGCGAGCGATCCATCGGCGCTGGAGAATTGGTGCTGTGGAAGTGGTGGATGATTATCAAATTTGGGCAGTGTGTGATCCCTTCCACTAGCGCGATTAAACAATCGAGTATTCTAAGCTCGCGGCTGGGTGGATCGCACATGGAAGCGGTGTTTGTTTAGGCAGATCCATCGTGGGGGTGTGAGGAATTTGGCGGAATTCCGCCAGAATTGGGGAGGATTGAGATATGGCGGCGCCACGGACTCGGAGGAGGATCTATGGCACTGGTGGTAATGGTGGTCGGCTTGGCGCCGCTTCTCTTCTCGGCTAGAAAAAGGAAAGAGAGGCTCTAGCTAGCAGCTATGAGGAAGAAAAGAGGACGACGAGGACGAAGAACTGTTCTTGGAGAAATCCCTCCTTCGTCGTCAATCATCGCCGCCTGCTCCTCCTCGCTCTAGATCTTTTCTTTCTTTTTCCTGTTCTTCCATTTCTTTTTTTCTTTCCTTTTTTTTCTTCTCCTTGATCCATATGCACCACCACCACCACCACCACTATGGCATGCCCTCCTCCTCTCCCTCCGCCTCCGCCCAGCAGCAGCAGCAAGATCGACCATCGCCGTCGCCACCATCGCAGTTACCATTCGCGACGGCGGCGGCGACGACGATCGCCACGACGACGACGCAGCAGCTCCTGGGCTCGTCTAGATCGGGTGGTGGAGGAGGCGGAGCTGCGATTCCGCCGCTGCCCAACTCCTCCTCCACGTCCTCGCTCATGTTTAGCGGAGGAGGAGGAGGAGGACTCTCCTCCATTTCTTCCTCCGCCGCCGCTAGCGTTGCCGCCACCACCGCGACCGCCGGCGCCGCTACTGCGACCTCCTCCTCCGCCGCTGGCTACCACCTCGCCCCTCATATTCCCTCCTCCCACCACCACCACCACTTCACTCTCTCCAGGCCGCCGGATCACCACCACCACCACCACCTCGCTTCTTCTTCTCCTTCTCACTCTCCTTTCGCTTCTCCGCCAGCGCCACCACCACCAGCACCTAGCAACTCCGCCGCCGCTGCTGCTCCGCCCAATTCGATCCTCCTCCACCACCACCAGCTGAGCAAGCACCAGCAGCTGATGCAGCAGCTCGGCCTGGCGCGATCGTCCGGCGATCAGGAGCCGGATCCTGGCGGGGTTGCAGGAGGAGATGGAAATTCAGTAGCTCCTCCTCCACCGCCACCGCCAGCGGCTCCGCCCAAGATCAATGTATCTCAGCCTGGCGGCGCTGCTCCTCCTGGACCTCCTCCTTTGGCGCAGCAAGACCACCAGCAAAAATTCGATGAGGAGGGCGGGGTGGACGACGGCGATCGTGGCGGGGGTGGTGGCGGGCAGCGGTGGCTCAAGGAGGAGACGAGCGCGCTCATCAAAATCCGCAACGATATGGATCGGAGCTTTCGAGACTCGCCGCTCAAGGGACCACTATGGGCGGAGGTTTCTCGGTATGATCTCTTCCAATTCTCTTGCGCTTGATCGTTCCATCTCTTTCTTGGGCAATTCTCCACTCCTCTCTCTCTCTCTCTCTCTCTCTCTCTCTCTCTCTCTCCAATTCTCTCTAGAAGCACTCTTCCTCCCTCTCCGTGATCTTTGGGTGGTCTTCGTTCTTGTTCTTGGGTGGCGGCATTTTTGTTCCTGATTTCTTGGAGCCCTCCTCCTGTCACGTCGGTGGGAATTTTGCTGTTTGGCTGCGTAAACTTTTTCCATCGCTCCTGTAGCTAGTAGCTGCAGTCACAAGTTTGCGTGAATCCGCGAATCCGAGGCGCCGATCCTTGGCAGGCCTGCTGAATTCTCCCGGTTCTTCGTGATCCCATTGAAATTGGAAGAGAATTCTAGCTGCATTCTCGAGTGGAGTGGTTGCTCGCTGGATTCTAGCTTGTTTTGTCGCAATTGAGATGTGAATTCTTTGTTCTTGTTCCAGGAAACTTGCAGAGCTGGGATACCAGAGGAGCTCCAAGAAATGCAAGGAGAAATTCGAGAACGTGTACAAGTACTATAAGAAATCCAAGGACGGGCGCGCCGGGCGGCAAGACGGTAAGAGCTACAGGTTCTTCGCCGACATGGAAGCTCTCTTTAGCGGCGCCGCCGCCGCCGCCGCTGGCGGCACTGCTGGCGGCGGCGGCGGAAGCCCAAGCAGCAACATCGTCTCGCCAATTCACTCCGCCAATCCCACCGTCACCGCCAACACCACCAGAGCGATGATCAACCCCTCCGGCCATCAGCACCACCACCAACAACACCACCACCATCCAATCCATACCGCCGGCGGTACGCTGCCAAACGCCGCCGGCGCCGCGGCGGCATTCCACGACCTGGGGGACACTTCGGAGACTTCCGACGACGTGGAGGAGGAGCAGGAGGACGAGCACGAGTATGAAGAGGGCACCGAGGAGAGCTCCCGTAAGCGCAAGCGGTACGCCGGCGGTACCGCACGGTGGCGCGTCCTCGAGGCCATGATGCGGCAGATGGCGGAGCGGCAGGAGGCCATGCAGCGGCGGTTCCTCGAGGCCATGGACAAGCGCGACGCGGAGCGCACCGCGCGGGACGATGCTTGGAAGCGGCAGGAGGCGTTGCGGGTGCGGCGCGAGCAGGAGCTGCGGTCCCAGGAGCAGGCCAGGATTGCGACGCGCGACTCGGCTCTGGTGGCGTTTCTCCACAAGGCGTGCAGCGGCGGCATACCGCCGCAGCAGACCCAGCAGCTGCTGGCGACTCTGGCGTCGATCGTGAGCAACAGTGGCGCCGCGGCCGCCGCCGCGGCTGATCGGACGGCGGAGATATCACCAGGCCAGCAGGTGGTGGAGGATCACCACCACCACCACCACCACCACCCCGACGGTACCGCGCAGCACGAACTTGTGGCGGTGCGTGGAGAGTCCGGGCAGCACGGTGGCTTTGATCCGGCCAGCAAGAGGTGGCCAAAGCCGGAGGTCCTTGCGCTCATCAAGCTCCGGAGTAGCATTGAGGGGAAGTTCCAAGAGACCGGGCCCAAGGGACCGCTGTGGGAGGAGATCTCCTCCGGGATGTCGTGCATGGGATACAGCCGCAGTGCCAAGCGGTGCAAGGAGAAATGGGAGAACATCAACAAGTACTTCCGCAAAACCAAGGATAGCAGCAAGAAGCGGCCCGAGAATTCCAAGACGTGCCCGTATTTCCACCAGCTGGACGCGCTCTACCGCAAGGGGGTGCTGGGCGGTACGCGGCTGCTTACCGCGGGCGGTTCAGGCGGCGCCGCCGGGGCCGGGGGTGGCAAGCGGGACGAGCTGGTCAACTCGGGCCACAGTACGGCGGCGACTTCGGCTAGCGGCGGTGGCGCGGGGCTGATCGTCCAGGCGGCGGACATGCTGGCGATCGTCCCGACGGGAAGGGAGAGCAACGCGGCGGCGGCGGGGGCGGCGGCTCTGCCGGTGGTGGCGAGCCCAAGCGCAAACAATGGTGGGGAGAATTGCTTCTCCGGGCCCGAGGAGGAGGAAGAGGAGGAGGAGGATGATAACTCCAACTCCACGAGTGGCGGTGACAAGGAGCAGCATGGAAACAATGGGAATGGGAATGGCAAGCAGCAGCAGCAACACCAGCAGCAGCAGCAGCATTCTTTGATGGGGTCGCTGCTCGATCCTTCCAATGGCCACCACTCTGGAACTTCGCTACAGCAACAGCAGCACCAGCAGCATCCGACGCCACTGGCGATGAGCTTCGAGGCCGCCGACCTCTTCTCCTCAAGCAGCGGCATCCTGGGAGAGTTTGAGAGGCGCGAGCAAGCGGCACAGCAAAACGGGAGGCGATGATGAAAGCTCCGCCATCTTTCAAGGTTTGCAGCATAGCCAACTTCGGTTGGATCGTCTCCCTGGACTAACCAAGCGCTTTTGCAGGGCTTTCGACTCGACTTCTTTCTTTCGCGGCTCGATGCAAGCATCGACGATTCATCTTTGCACACACGCACAGCACAGGTTACGGTCGCCCAACAGTACAGGGGGGTTCTTTTCTTCGATCACCAAGAGTGTACATTAGCTGTATCAGTACAGTCTAGTGGTGGTACTTTTAGTGTCGTCAGCAGCAGGCAACCAGGGTCCGTTTTCTCGGTTATCTCGGGGGAATAACAATAAGCCAGGCAAGGTGGTGGGAATTCAAACAGGTGTGGAACAAGCTTGGAATCTTTCAGGGGATGGATTGGTCGCGAGGAAACTATAAATATTTCATATACTATAGCTTGTAGAGAGGTACATAGGATCATCGGTTCGCTCCAGCAAGTTTGGGATTTTCAGCCAAGTTTGTGAATATGGGAGGATTCTTCGAATTCAGTCCGGTTTTTTGTGTGTGAAAGAAGCATCAGCAGCAGCAGCAGCAGCAGCATCAACATCAGCAGCGGTAGAAGCTTTGTGTATAAAAAGTTTTTTCCTTTTTCCTAATCGGGGATTGGGGGGCCTCGTCGATTGATTCGATCATACGTTGTCTGCTGCTGGAGTTTCTCTCTTCGTCCAAGGAAAATAGGCTACGGTTTTTTATACTCCTTTTTCCTTTTTGTTTTGGTTTTTTCTTTCGGAATTTTTGTTTCTATACATCTAGCAGCAAGAGCCAGGCAGCAGGAAGGCAGGCAGGCATTTGCATTGCAAACAGCAGAGTGTTGTTTCTCTCGTCGCGCCGGAATTCTTTTCTCCAGTGGAATAAAACAAGTTCGTCAAAATTCCAAAAACTCCGCCACCTTTTTCCTTAAGCTTCAAGAAAACATGCGTTTCGTTAGGACGGCATGGAATCGTGGGATTCACTGGCGATGCCCGATCCGATCACTGCTCCTGTCCAGAGGCCACCGTGTGTGTGAGATCATCCTGGATGCGGACACCAGTCCATTCCCCACATTAAAGCTGTAGAAATACCAAAAAAGAAAACACAAACTATTTTCTAGATAAGCCCTCCTGCTTGTGCAGACAGAGACATGAAAGGTTTTTGGAGACACGCAACAGCAAAACTTCAGTCAATCCAAATCATCACTGATTCTTATGAGAACCTCTAATTGTTTTGGTGAAAGGAGGAGAGAACAACCCAGATTGCTCATGCTTGCTTGCTTGATGGTGGTTTGCATCACACTCGTATGATTTGTAGCTAATTGTTCCATCATGTGAAGAGTGGTGTTCATGCAACTACAACACAAGCTGCCCTGCCCTGCCAGCCAAAAGAAGGGAGGGGCCACTTCCACTCCCTACATTTTTCCTTCTGTTGTATTTGTTTCTGACATGTGAAATAAATGCACTGAGGTGGCAGTGCTGTCATTAATCCCAAGACCTGGCTTGTGTCAGGCAGGCAGGCCACTAACGTTGAAAAGAAAACAAAAAAGAGTCATATGCCAGTTTTGGCTATCAAATGTAGCCCTAGGCCACCTTTTAAACCCTAAACCTTTGTCATTAATCAAAACTAATGCAAATCAATCAAGACATGACCTTCGCAGGGGCCCAAACAGTATCGTTAACTAGAATTTTCTGCCAATCTAAAGTTAAAACATGCACTGGTGAACATGCAATATCACTCCAAAGCTTTGGTTGGGACCAATCAACCAAGCCAGTGTAAAGAAGACCAAAGGGGGGCCCGCAAATGACACACAAGAGGCCCCACTCCCACTGGGCTCCCACTTAGCTTGTTGAGATTTTACTACAAATGACAACTCAACACACACAACCTCAACACTCAATAGAGGAGAAATTCAATGCTTGGGACCCGAAAACATTACCAAAAACTAAGTCCAAAACTAGCAAAACAAAATTACATGTACACAAAAGGATCTCTTATAAAAAAAAGAGAGAACTTCTGCAGTACTCACAACTCGCACCTCCCCGCTAGATCCCCGCAAAAATCCATTCGTACTTAAGCAGCTCATGACGGTGGCGATCACAATTCTTTCCGTAATCCAGCGTGCCAATCTCGTACGTTTTCTGTTTCGTGATCTTTTTTTTTTTCCTCTCCCGGCCAGCCATGTGCATTTCCATGTGCAGGATGGACCCTCGACCATCTTTCACAGTTCTTCAGCCTTTCACAGTGCTCTCCCTCCCAATCATCGCGTCCATGCGGGTCCAGGCCCCAGTACAAAAGTAAGAAAAAAAAAAAAACTCTGCTAATCGTGCCTGTGCCTGTGGTGTCCCTGTTGGAGACTGTCAATTCCCTGCTTTGCTTGCTTTCCCTGTTTGCTTGCTTGCTTGCTTGCTTGCTTTCCTCTCCACCAGTGTCGTTAACTCGGCCTCAATCCCATTCAATCCAATCCTCTCGATCCAGTGTCGAGACAAGACCCCCAACTTCCGTACTAGAGATCTTCCAGCTCGCGCAACGAGTGAGTAATCACGCAACCCCCACTTGATACCTTTCTCGCGTCCTTATCATACACCAGCTTGCAGCAGGCCCACTGGCTTGTTTCTCCTCTTCTCTTTATTTTCTTTCCTGTTCTCTCCTTTGTTTTGTTTCTGTCCGCCCTTCAACTCGCTGGCGATCCCCCGAGATCTCAGTTCCATCTCTGTAATAGCATTCTCCCGACTTGTCTCATGCAAAGGCTGCCACGCCATGTCCAATCCAGGGGTGTCGTAAAGAGCCCCCACCTTCCGCAACTGGATCACCTGTCAGCCTGGCCGAAATAGTTCCCTGCTATCGTAATTATGATGTTGAGCATCTCAAGCTCTCGCTCTCCACGGAAGTTCCTCGAGGCCCTGATGAGAGCGCACTTCCTTAGTAGTTCCCGGACAGCGGCACTCGTGTCCAGGTCCAGGGGCTCGTCCACCACCGCCGAAAGAGCGTAGAGCCATAACGCACGCTCCTCCGCCAAGTTCTCCAGGTCGTCGAGCCACGAGATGTGATGGCGCAAGAGAGTTGCACGGGACACCTCGTCCATGCTGAGGAGAGTACTCAGAGACGGCAGCTGGCCGGTGTGCTCTTGTTCGTAATCACTAGTCTCCCCGTTATCGTTGTCCGAGCTTCTGCTTTCAGTCCCGAAGCAGTAAACTCTCCAGGCATCTCTGTCCCTGAAGTGCGGGAGTTTTTTCTGACAGCAGGCCTCACCGGAAGGAATGTCCGACAGTAGTTTCTAAAACAAGCAAACACTTTAGAAACATCAAAGGAAAAAGCGTGGATAGAAGTGTTTTTACCAGCCGTAGTTTGGAGAAGTCCGAAACAAACTCGGTTTCCCAGCTCCTTAATGGCAGTAACTCCGGGTCACAGTGTGCAATCGGGGGAATATCTGGCATGTACGCTGTTTGTTCGCAGCAAAGCTTACTTGCAGCCACAGCCGCCACCTTAACCCGCTCACACCGTGCCTCCTCCCACCTTTCAGCAAGAATAGTTCCAAACAATGAGGAAAAACACGAGAAGAGAGACACTCGATGCGTACCTCACACGACGCAAAAACTCGAAGCCGTCTTGAGGAGGTCCCGAGTCGAAATCCGGCTCCCCTTCCACGTATAATGCTGGCTTTCGGAGGCCTTCACCTTCGCTGCTATCAGAGTAATACTCCACTTCCTCCAGGTTCACGTCATCCTCACTTTTCTCAGCTGCGGCAAAAGAAAAGTGAAAAACTAGACAGGGATAAAGATCATCGAGAACTTTACCTGATTGCAAGGTGTGGCTATCCCTCCAATCGAAGTGCTCCTGATCGTTGTGAGTGAAGATACTATCAAGCTCCAAAGCTACATCGCCAAGTCCTTCGCAAATTTGCAGCCATTTCTCGCAAGATCGCTCGTCGGAGAACCTCAGCTTCAAGAGCTCGCCTCTCCGGTACCTGACCACCGGTCGAGAAGCGCAAGCGGGAGATAGAGCCGCCTTTGCACTGGCCAAGAAACCATTCACCTGCCTGGATTCGCTAGCCGCTACGTCACCTGGATCATCGCGAACGGTGCCGCCGCCGCCGCCAGAGAGGAGATCATCGCCTCCGCGAGCTGTCTCGTCCATCGGAAAACCCTAAACCCTAAAAAATGCTCTACCTTAAGAAGAAGAGAGCTTCCTGTGCCTGATCTTTAGCTTCCCGGATGGCTCCTCCCGGAAGAAGGAGACCTCGTCTCCACAGGCGAGATTGTAGCGCTTCACGTACTGGATCCATCCCTTGCTAAACACGTACGTCTTGCTGCTCCCCCAGTACTTGAAGTTGAATGCCCACTGTTCGGATTCGTGATCGTGGAAGAAGAGCACCGTCTCGTTGGGATCGGGGATGGAGGAATCCGGATTTCCGGGCTTGGCCGCCTCGCTGAGCTTGGGGAAACACTCGCGCGCGTGCCTCTTGTGGATGACCAGGCGATTGAGCTTGTTGACATCGCTGTTCGTCAGGAGCTTGGAGAACAGGAAGTTATCCGCGCTTCTTGCGTGATTAGACGCGCCGGGATCGCTGAAACTATTGTGCGCGAGGGCCTCCTTCCTCCCGGGATCCCTTTCCTGGCTGAAAACACTGTGCGCGATCGACGTCCCGGAGCTCGTGGAGCTGCTCCCCTGCAGACTAGGAGGCGCTAGCAGCAGCCTCAAATCGATGCCGTCGCCGCCATCGTCCCGATCGCCTGCAATCTTTGCGCGCTTGCCGTGCGTAGCCGAGCGGGCAAAGAAATCGATTGCCCCGCTGCTGATGGTGCGATCGTCGTCGTCGTCGTCGCTGGAGGCGGCGCCGCGGGGCCGTTGAGAGCTGGAAGACGATTCACTCGTCATACCTCCGGGCAGCGAAATGACTAAATGGAATGAAGAAATGTATTTTTGCTCTTTAAGAAAAAGCCACTGCAAAAAGCCATGTATGGCGGGGCATTCCTGATGAATATGCCCGGGTCAAAGCTATTTGGGCAGATATTTTTAGAAAGTATCTTAAGTCTGATGTAGCTTGATACTTTGCTAGCCACCTTTTTCTTGAACCGGTTTATCGGGAGGCCTGCGTTATGGCTGCATGAGCTGGTGACGAGCGTCGAGAGTCACAGGTCTTGGCTTGCTTCTGGTGTTGTCCACGGGAAAACCTCTGAAGAGCGTGTGGAATGTAGGCTGTGTGAATATGAATGGCATGCCTACGTGACGACCAAATATTTGTCGAGTTTGCGGGCCTTGCAAAGTCTAGGGACGTACCATACCACAGGTGAGTATGTTTACAGCACTCCTCAAGACCATCACGTCACGACCGTTGTGAGGTGTTGAGGGTGGCGAGGAACAATTGAACCTTCTTTCAAGCCTAGATTGCTCTTGTTCGTGAGGATTTCAGCAAGGATCGATCACCATGGAGCATTATACTGTGTTTTGATGTCTAGCTTTGGTGAATGTGGTGGTTCTAAGCACTCTCTCTCTCTCTCTCTCTCTCTCTCTCTCTCTCTCTCTCTCTGTCTGTCTCTGTGTGTGTGTCTGTGTGACTTGCTTTCTTGTTCTTTCGTTTTTACTTGGCTCAAGGACACACTCCAAAGAGTCTGAATGAGCTCTAGAGAGGAGAAGGTAACTTGCAATTTTCATTTTGTTTTGGACGAATAAACTCCAACCAATGCCGCATGCAAGAATGCAATTTCTAGACAAACAAGTTTGCACCAACCAACTGGTGTGTTGGAATGAAAGAGCACCACATGGTTAGTTTTGAGCTGAAACATGGAAGATTTGAATTTTTTGTTAAGAGTATGTAGCGATGCAGCTGTGAAATTGTTTTTGTTTTCCAATAGAGATTTTGACACGCATTGACTTGGGTGATGAAGGCTTAGTGGTGAT